ATAATAATCATAATAAAAAAAGAATATGGCACATGTTTGGAAATTAATGCTTATTTTTTATGAGTTATTAATTTTTTATATTTATATTATTTTGTTGGATGTTATTTAAAAAAGCATTTTAAACGCATTTAAGTGGCTTGTAAAGTCTAGTTCCTTGGTTGTTTTGTAGTATTGGTGTAGTATTTTTAATTTTTGTTTCAAATTGCACTGGCATTTACAAATGAATGCGTGAATTATTGAGCCACAAACAAAAGTTAAAAATACGGACAAAACACAATAACCTAATATGAAACATCACAGCAGAAAAAAAGCATAGAATAAATATAATATAATATAATACAATCTTTTCCACCTCGTTGTAAATATGCATAAAACTAAAAAACGAAATATGAAAAAACACAAAAGAAAAAAAAAGATCAATAATTTAAACAAAAACAAATGTCCTCCTCGTTGTTTGAGGCTTTTGGAGTTTCGGACTACAACTCCCATGACCACCTCGGCTGGATTTTGGCGCGGTTTTACGTTAGCGGCGGCCATTTTCTTTTCACACCGCTGTTTCAGAGACAGCCAACCAGCACTCGGACTACAAAACACGGATTCATTCAAAACAAAAACTTCCAAACACACCGGAAAACCGTTCCAAGCTCCAAGCGGAGGTCGCTGCGTACACCGGGCCGAAGTGGAACTCGGAGGAGTGTTTATTTGAGCTGAAGTGGGTCTGTAGCGTGAAGCGATATGGCGACCGCAACCCCGAGCCGCGAGTCGAGCCGAGCGACGGCCGCCCAAACGCCGCTGAGCCCCGCGCGGATCTCGCGCCTGCAGGAGAAGGAGGACCTGCGGGCGCTCAACGACCGCCTGGCCGTCTACATCGACCGCGTGCGGTCCCTGGAGCTCGAGAACGACCGGCTGCTCGTCAAAGTGTCCGAGAAGGAGGAAGTCACGACCAGAGAGGTGCAGAGCCGTTCCTTTGTGCTGCTTGTACGATCGATAAACATGCCTGTTCAGGCGCAGAGTTGTTCCAAAGCGTTAACGTGCCACATTTTCCTTTTATTCGGCGTTAATTCGGATTTCTAGCTGACATTGCGTGTAGATTCAGTGCGTTAAATCTATCAAACTTTACCAGTGTGTTGAGTGATGGCACAACATTTGAAAAACCGCGCTAGGAACTTATGCATGTGGACACAATCAAGCCTGTGCATTAAAAACC